CCCCCCCGCCTCGGCCCCGCCGCCTCCTCGGAGCTGGGCGGGCGGGGGGAGGACCGACCTCGCCGCCGAGCCCGGCAAAGGGGGGGAAGGACCAGCCTCTCCGCCTCCGCCTCGGAGCCGGGCGGGCGGGGGGAGGACCGGCCTCGCCGCCGCCTCCTCGGGACATCGAGCGGGGAGGGGGGATGGAGGAGACGGAGCTCTTCTCCCCCCCCGCGGGTATCGCGGGTCCCCATCTTGTGTAATACTATTTACTGCTTGTTTAATATATCATGTCTAATTCTTTATGCTTCATTTGACATTTCTGCAATTCTATTAAGTTGCTTATGTCTCATCCCGTTGACTGCACTGACTTACACTGTGTAATCCACCTTGAGTCTCAGTGAGAAAGGCAGGCTGTAAGTAATGTAAATAAAAATGCATAAATAAATATAGGATTGCTCCAAACCAGAGGGCATTTTTGGCACTCCTTGTCAGAAAAGCATTTGATGAACAAATTCTTAGTTCTTACACTGATCTACTAGATCTTCTCAAATAAGGATTTTTTTGTTAAAGCCAAAGTAACGTTCTGGATCACCAACAGGCAGTACAGAACAGATACCTGTTATGAGCAGCTATGAGGGTCATATTTCTCCTCCCGGCCTTGCAAAAATTGTGGTCAAATTGCTGCCACTGTAAAAGAGCACTCATTCTGTGTCTGAGCTGAGACAGCACCAGACACTGCTATGAGTGCTGCTTCTTCGAATCTCATTAGCAGAAATTCATGCATGCAAGAACCATGCTGGGATTATTTACAGCCTCACATATAAGTTTCTATGCAGTGTTGCTTCTGGATCGTAATTGTGGTGTTTTGATATGTAAATAATTTGTGTGTTTCACTTCTGTGTTTTAATGTGAAATTTTATACCTGTGTTGCTGTGTGTTGAAACAGAGGTCTCTAGACTAAGAAAGAAGGGATGGATGGATGAAGTACATTATGATTGCATGGTGGTTGCACCCTAGGGGGCGGAGTTGAATGGGGCGGGGGAGAGAGATTGTTCACAGAGCGTGTGGGAAGAGTTGAGTGCGGTGCTGTGGAGAGTGAGAGTAACTTGTTCTTTGTGGAACTTATTATCCTAAGTGGCGAGTGAAAAAAATAAGCCTTTGTGGCTAGGTCTATTTAAGAAACTTTAAAGAAGAACTGTGCCTATCTGAAACCATTACACTTCCAACCTTTACTGAAACTGTTCCACTGTTACACTTCTAAAACAAATGCTGTTTATGTTTCAGAGAAAACCTTTGGTTTTCCATTTTACCTCAGAGCCACCCCTGTATAATGACCATTCTGTCATTCTATCAAATGTAACTAAGCCATTCTGTTCTTTGTGTCCACCTAAGAATTCCTTTAGTGGCAGTAAAATTAAGTAGGAAATGTTACGGAAGAAAGCAGCGTAACACTCGTCACCTCAGAACACTACAGAGAGATGCCTTTACAGGTGTTATATATAAAGGGGTCTCAGAAAAGAGCAAAACGTTACAGTAAGTTTTAGCCAAACTTCCAGAGCAGCACACGTAATGTCAGCATTCCCATCTTACAGGAAAAAATCCAGCATCACACTGCAAATATAAAGAACATTTGATAAAGTGCTTTCATGGTGTCTACAGACATCAAAAAATGTCCATTAACCTCCTGCTGTAACTCTTCTTCATGTTTCTTGCTTTGCTCTTTCACATCTTGCAGTTCTTGGGCATGGTCGGTCTGCAGCTTCGTCATGGCAAGCTGGTACTGGTTTTCCAGATTTTTACACTCCACTACAAAATAATGTTGAGTCCAGTTAACTAAGATAATTCCTTTTAAACAACTTAACACCAAATAAAGACCACCTTGTCCCATACGAACCCGCCCAACCTTTCCAGTCATCTTTAGCGGCCCTGCTTTGGGTGTACCCACCATGCCAGGCTAGACAGGTGGCAAGCTGAGGAAGTGCCTTCTTGGTCGTGCTGCCAAAATTTCTGAACTCCCTTCCCAGAGAGGTTTGTTTGTCTCCCTCTATTGTTGTCTTCTGCCACTGCAAGAAGACTTTTTTTGGGGGGGGGGGCGCTGGCATTCCCTCACTGTGTGTGCATGTCTGCGTGTGTGTGTGGATGGATACAGAATAAACTCACTGGGTGATAAATGTTTCAGTTCTCTGTATTATCTTCTCCCACAGTCTTGGCCACAACAAAATATGGGCACACTAGGCTGACTACACATACAGCCACATATGTAGTAGACAGTCAGTCCGTCAGCCTTTATTGGCATAAAACAATATCTTAAGACATATGTAGTATTGATTTTTACCAAAAGGAATGCAGTCTGTCTCCAGCATATTGAAACTAAACAAAGTTGTATCAGACACAAGCTTATAGCTTCCCCTAGCAAATGCCCATCGCTCATTAGAATCTGCCTCAGAATTTTGATTGACATGCACTTCAAGAATTGAGGCAGTCCTCATCCTACTGACCCCAGTGACAAAGCACCAAACACATGTAAATGAAACAGATTAAACTCTATATCTGAGCCCTCGCAAAGACTTTCACAAAAACGACAGCTTTCCTCAAAATAAAAATGCCTACTTTCAAGCTGTTCTTTTTCAAGGCACAGGCTCTCCAACTTTCCTTTTACTTGTTCAAGTTCTGATTTCAGGGTTCCTTTCATCTCAAGTTCTGATTTCAGAGTTCTTTTCATCTCATTCAACTCAGCCTGATGTTTTTCAGATAACTCTTCAGATATGTTTTTACAACTGATTTCTGTATTCAATGCCCATTCTTTTTTAGAACTCTAAAAAGAAATGAAGTCTTATTTTAACATTAAAAATTTGGATGCAATATCCTGAAAAGGCAACATTTTCTTTCCCTTAAGAGAACAGTAATACTTCCAGTCTGGCCCTCTGCAACATCCCGGTGGTTTTCCTGGCCTCTTGTCAACTCCATGACCCTTTCCAAAAAAGGGCAGCTTTCTGGGTAAACCCAAAACCCTAACTTGAGAACTATTTGCAGACATTTGCACACATTTTCCCAAGCAATTCCCTTTCTGCAGAAGGAAGACAACATCTCAGCTTTAATCTCACACTCAGTTCTTTAGCAACTGCTAAATAACTCTTCTCTTTCAGGAAGACAGGGGTTCTGAATGCAGTCCCATTTAGGTCAGCCTTTGACAATTAGAGCACTCCACTGAATACAACAAATATATTCCGGTAGGGAACCGGTTCTAAAACGGTTCTGTCTGAAATGACAGACCAGAAACCGTTTGGGAACTGTTCCTCTTCCGGATTATATAGTCTGTCTGAAATTCCTCACTATCTAGGCAAAACAGGCAACAGCTGACTGGTATTGCTGGATTGATTTCACCACAGTCCATGTACAGTAGTGTCATCGCATCTGTCTGACCATTCCCTGGGCATGCACGCATGCAAGCAACAGTCGACATGAAATAGTTATTTATACAGGGCACAAGTTTGCAGTGCAACCTATATTATCTGCATTGCTCTCCTAAACGTTTCTGTGTAGTGTAGTGCCTAAGAACCAAACACATGCTCTCGGGGTGGGGGTGGGGGTAAGAGACAGAAAGGGCATTCTGAGGAACTCTAAATCAATCAAACAATTGCTATGGCAATTTGATTTATTAAAGCAACAAGTCATACACAGTACCTCTAATATTTTGGCATGTTTTTCCTCCATTTCCAAAATGATTTTCCCCCTCTCTTCATCTGAAAAATGAAACATTTTCAACAGCATTAAATGTCTGATGTATCTGTCCTTGTACATGATGTATACAAACGAGGTAAACTAAGTTCTCTACTTGGCTTTACTGTGAAGCATTTAATAACTTTACCATCAGGGTCAGTTCTATGATGAGGCAACTTGAAATAATCACATCAAGTGGCAGATTTGGGGGGGAGGCAACTTTAAGTCCCACCCACCAACAGTCAGCAACCCACCTACCGCTCTCAACTGGGAGTCAGAAGAGATACCCTCTCTCTTACTTTGAATTCTTTTGCTGAGAGGTAAAACTTACATGTTGCCCAAGAGGTGCATGAAATGTGAATGGACCTGAATACATAATATAAGCTTTTAACCTCAAAGTACAGTGTACTATATCTTGATGGTGGCTACCATGATTTTGCCTTCAGCTGTCAACTAGCAAAGGAGCAAGCCAACAGTTGGTTTACTTGCAACATGAGGTTAAAATCTATTAGCTATATACCTAGGTCACTTTGATGCGTCAAAGTCATTTCTTCTTTTTCCTTCAGATGCTGTTCCTTAATATGCTCCAGCTCAAATTGGCATCGGCTTTGCAGAACTGCTATTTCTTGAGCATGCTTGTCATTGAGCATCTCACGCAGTTCCACAAGGGCGGTTTCCTTCTCCTTCCTCAGATTATTCTGTATCAGCTCCAACTGAGATGTGTGCACATTATTTGAATTCAATCTTAGAGCTTCCACTTTAAGATTATGTAGAGCCTGCAATGAAGACAGACGATAAAAAATACAATTTAAAAACGGTGATTGCTGTAGATTTCTTAAGCCATATAAGGCCTGAACGCTTCCTAAAATAGTTTTATTTTATAAAAAGCATGTATTTAAACAAGCATGTCCTGAGCTCCCATCAGATTCTCAAGCTGCAAACCAGATAGGACACTACGGCCTATGAGTGCTGGGAGACAGGGCATCCATGGAGCCAAGGTCCTCAAGAAACAGTGAGTCCCAGGCATTCATTCTTTTCTGAACTTTTGAGGAATCCCCTTCCCACTTCAGACATCCTGTTCTGCTGTTCAGGGGATAACTGCTGGGGGTCCCAGATGGACACCCTGAAATGCTATCCTGGCTACCTTGTTCAGGCTACCCCACCTGTGGGCAATCAAGATGTCTTGCTGGGAGAGTCAAAGGCTGACTGCTAGGGAAGCCAGGACAAGCAGCTTGCTAAGGAAAGGGACAGGCGGCAACAGTCAATTTCTCTACTTCCCGGTTCCTGCCATTGGCTTTTTTTTGCCCAATAGCCTTGTTCAATGTTCCCTCTAAGCTGAGTTAGTGTGAGCTAGCTCACAGTTTTTTAGCCTCTGGCTCACACATTTTTGTCTTTGCTCAGGAAGGGTGGCTCCAGAGCAAACTAAGCTATGCAGTAGCCAAATCGCTGGCTCCCAATTTTAATGCCGGTAGCTCACAAGGTAAATTTTTTGCTCATAAGACTCCATAGCTTAGAGGGAACATTGCTTGTGATACCCCAGACTCTGCCTCTTTGTCCCACAGTAGATATTTAAGTTAGAAACAGATCTCCCAGAGCCAGTTTGGTGTAGTGGTTAAGTGCGCGGACTCTAATCTGGGAGAACAGGGTTTGATTCCCCACGCCTCCACTTGCAGCTGCTGGATGACCTTGGGGAAACCACAGTTCTCTCAGAGCTGTTACTGAAAGAGCAGTTTTCTAAAGAGTTCTCTCAGCCCCACCTACCTCACAGGGTGTCTGTTGTGGGGAGGGGAAGGGAAAGGAGTTTGTAAGCCGCTCTGAGACCGAAAAAAGTCTGGACATCTTGAAGGTTCTTACTATCTCACAATAACTGTTTAAGCTGTGTATTTCATCACACACACGCAGACAACCCCATGAAAATACAGAAGTCCCACAGTTAAAGAAAACCAATCAAGCAGGTATGTAGTTGTCCGTAACTATTCTGACAGTTAATTTTACAAAAGTTCACCATATAGCCAGTGCATATAGAATTATTAGGGAAAAAATTGTTAACTGCAGTTATTGTTAGAAGCAGCATAGTATTTTGGGGGCAGCAAGTCAAAACTCCAGGCAGTCTGACAGTTCAAGATGCTTTATTCTTTTACTGTCAATACTAGTGTTGCCTTCATAAATTCTCACTTCAGATCCTCTTTTCAAATCTATATAAGCTATCCTGTTGGACTATTTGGTAAGTGAACATAAAAGAGCACCCATTCTCATCAAACCCAACAATTAAGATCTACACTCCCCCACTATATCGAAAAGTAAGGTTCATCACCTCCATGGAGAACACAGTGTTCTTTTTTGTGGAACACCCTCCCTGTAACTATCCACCAGCGCCAAATCTGAACATTTTCTGGCACTGGGTCAAAACTTTTCTTTTTATTCAAGTGTTTTTTGTTGGTTTGTACTGGTTTATTAGACTGCTTTTAGCACTGATGCTTATGCTGACTTTATAATATTTTCTTAATGCTGCTTGCTTTTTTTAAAAAACTAAACTGCCGGTTTTAGCCCTTTCAGGGTGCAATCCTAAAGTTCATCTGACAATCTTACACACACCAAAGCCACACATATAACTTAAATTGCCTGATCTGAAGACAGGTATCACATGATGATGCGGAACACAGTAATCAAGCATGTAATATAAGCAACTGTCTAGCAAGCCAGCACAGTGAATGCTGCCATTAAATAGAAGCAGAATAGTTCACAGTGCTGCTAATTTTTTATTGTGAGAAAATCACTGAGTTCACCAAAAGTGGATTGACTCAACCTACACAGGTGTTCAAACAATGTTCAAACATCACTTTTGTAATCATAAATTCTTTATTATAACATGTTCAAGACTAAGCACATTTAGTACTAGGGATGGGGGCATGAACCTAATTTCACGACGAACATTGCCGGTTTGTCACAACCCTCCACATGGTTTTGGAGGAAGGGGGGGCAGAGTGACAGGGATCGCTGATATGGCTTGCATCCATTTCAGCCTGTTAGGCTCTAAATGGCTTTTGCAAGATCTGCTGGCCTTGGGGAGCCACCGCCAGCTGAAAGGAGGGAGGGAAGAGCTCAAATCTTCCCCTGAACCTCATGAACCAAACTAGTTCAGTTAATGGGGAGATTCTGGGTTCGTATGACCTCACGAACCATGAACTGGGAAGAACTTCCATTTTCCCAGTTTGTGCTCATCCCTATTTAGTACTATACTTCTAAAAGTATCTGGCATTAACTAGCAATATTATATGTGCCTTTTTAAAAACAGGTGGCCTAATTTTTGGCTACTTCCAACAGCCAGAGTCCTTTGAATTTTTAGTGTTTGACACTGTACCTCCGCTTCATGCATCTCTTCTTCATGTGCAGCCTCCATTTGGTGATGCAACTCATCCAACAACAGCTGTTGCTCTTTCATTAATTTAGCATGTAACTCTTTCATTTCATCCTCATGCTGAATAACTAGCTCCGCTACTTCACGATCATGCTCTCGTTCATGAAGCTACAAGGTTAATTAAATGAGAATGATTACAGCTGAAAAACACTGTGCAAATATTGCAATCAAGCAAACATACAACATATTTTTTTTAAAGCAAATTTTTTACAAGCCAATTTAATTATCCAGAGAAGCTATGGTGTTACAGTTCTGAAATTTTGGAGCATAAAGGAAAAAGCTAGAAAAAACAGGGGGGGGGGACTAAATACATACAACACTTACTTTTTGATCCTATCTAAAACTCCTTTATGACATTAAAATGCATTATGTATACTTAGTTTTATTATTTACTACAGTTATGAAAACCTGAAGTATAACTGTCTTTGCAGGCTGAGGGATCCCCAAGGTTTGCAAAAAATCTGAAAATTTACAAAAAAATGGAGGGAGTTTAAAGCCCCCAAAACAATGCAAGTGCTACACTGAGCAAGGAGGAGGAGAGAGCTGAGCCTCAGAAGCATGCCTGGATGCAGTTGAGGTGCCACCTTATGTGCCACTACCAGGTCCAGAGCCAGTGGGCAGGTGGAGGAGAAAAAGCGGGACCCCCCACTGCCAACTCCTCATTGGTGGCGCTGGAGACAAGTGGATGAGGAACAGAAGTTGTCTCCAATCCCTCTGCTGCCGCAGCTGCTCTCTCTATTACTGCCTAGACAGGGCACTGGAGGTGGGCAGGTGGGGAAGGAGCCAGAGCCACTGCCCCCCCCCAGGTGCCAACACTGCAGCAGCATGGCAGGCTGAGGAGATGGAGTAACCACCACTGCCCCTCTTCTCTGCCATGTGAGCTACTTGGAGTGGGCTGGCAGGCAAGTGAAAAAGAGGGCAGGAAGGATGTGATTCCCCAACCTTGAGCCTCATAGGTCCCCCACTTGTTCAAACAATAATTACAAGATATATCCAATGCCAGCTGGAAAGGGTTAAAACTGAAAACTATCAATAATTCAATAAACAAAAGAAGCCTCATCATTTAGACTTCACTTCCTCTTCATAGTTAGCTTTATCCAGAAATAGTCCCGCCCACGTCAGCCCCGGCCAGCGACTTCGGCTCAGTCTGCTCTGGGCCTCTGACAGAAAAGGACCATCTGCAGACTGAGCGCAGGGAGAAGCCCCGAAGACTCACCAGTACACACAAGGGGACCCAGGTAAGGGGATGGAATTGCTCGGGAAACCCCAGGACAGAGCGGCGGCCAAGCTGCTTGTGCCTGTGTCTTCGGGTGGGGGTGTTCCTCGTGCATGTGGAGAGGGAGGCAAGTCAGTGGCCGCTGCCGCCGGCGAGCCACCCAGTGCAAGCCGGGCTTCGGCCCTCCCCCCCCATGCGCAGTAGAAGGCCACGCTCCCCCGCAGCAGGCCTTCGGCGGAGCCCTGGGAGGGGTGCGGCGGCGGCCCTGCACTGCTCACCCCAGAACCGATTTTGCCCACCCACCCCCGCCCAACAAGGCAGGCCTTTGGGGGAGCCCTGGGAGGGCCATGGCGGTGGCCCTGCACCACTCACCCCGGAACCAATTTTGCCCACCCCCCTGCCCGACGAGGCAGGCCTTTGGGGGCCGCCACGGCGACCCTGCGCCGCGCGCCGTGGAACCGAATTCACCGCCACCCCCATGAGGCAGGCCTTTGGGGGAGCATAGGGAGGGGTGTGGTGGCCCTGCGCTGCTCACCGTGGGCCCGTGGTGGTAGGGAGGGCCCTGGCGGTGGCAGCCGCCGGTGATTGAACCACCGCCCGCCCAACTTCGGCCCCCCCAGTAGACAGCTAGCGGCGGCGGCGGGTGAGCTGCCACCCGCCTGCCTTCGGGCATCTCCCCCCCGCACGCCCAGTAGAAAGGCGGCGGCGGCAGCAAACGAGCCGCTGCACACCTGGCTTAGCCCCTCCCCTCCTCCCCATCCCTCGCGGCTTCTCCCGCCCCCCGGCAAGCCAGGCAGACAGGAGACCCTTTACCAGGACCCCCCCCCTTCGCTTCTCCCGCTGCCTGGCTAGCCGGACGGCCGAGATTTTCACCAGCTGCCCCCCCACGCCTCCTCCCCTTCTAACTTCCTTCCTTCCTTTCTCTCTCTCCTTCCTTTCTTCCTACCTTTCTCTCTCTCTCTCTTTCTTTCTTTCTCTCTCCCCCCCTCTTCATTTCTTTCTTTCTTTCTTTCCTTCCTACCACCCACCCACCCTATCTTTCTAGGCGCATTGTCTTCATCCACAACAGGCTTTGCTCCCTAGTATACTATAATACCGTAAGTGTATTTTCTCTAGAGGTGACATCTAATGAGATCACAGATGGTCCTAAGCCATTTTATCTGATGAGTTTCAGTAACACTAACCATCAAATCCTTTCTCCAAGTTTGTTTTATATATCCATTTTATCTCGCCTAATTACACAAGCAGATTACATTTTGGACACAAGTCTTCCTTGCCTAGCAGATCATGTAAAAACTGCTGAATTTTGCCATATTCCTACAGATGTTCACAGTACTCTCAACAGCAGTAAAGGACAGCATAATCCTGAAAACACTTTCCTGGGAATAAGTTCCATTGAATAGAAGATAGTAGAATTTTGAGCAGATCTGCTCTCATAGTCCCTTAGTTGTAAACAGTCTTCTTTTGAAATAGTCTTTTGTTCTGTTTCCACAAAGTAAACTATTGAATCATCATTTGGAAACTCTCATTTTAGTCAGATTGAACCTACCCCATGCTCTGTACACATATGTTAGGTGAAACTGTACATTAGCCTGAACCTTCTGAATTCTTGACTATAAATTATTGACATTAATGATGAGCCTTGTGGAAATAATTTAATTGCACACTTGCCCCAAACTTTTATCAGTACAGACTGTACAACATTTGTGCCACCAGCCAGACCCAGACTGACAGTGCCGTATCCCACCAAACTGTTCCTTTCCCAGGAAGATTTTCCTTCATAATCCCTAAACCTCAGCATAGGAGACATACCCACACTGTAGCCTGGTGGTATCTTTCTATACTTGGGACAGCTTGTCCACCCTGAATTGGTACACAGCATCAGCAGGGAAGAACAGAAGCAAGACTACCCACGGTCAAATACCTCCCCTTGTATTTTCTGGAAACTCTCATTTTAGTTAGGTTGAACCTACCCCTTGCTCTGTACACGTATGTTAGGTGAAACTGTACTTTAGCCTGGACCTTCTGAATTCTTGACTATAAATTATTGACATTAATGATGAGCCTTGTGGAAATAATTTAATTGCACACTTGCCCCAAACTTTTATCAGTACAGACTGTACACCACTTGTGCCACCAGCCAGACCCAGACTGACAGTGCCGTATCCCACCAAACTGTTCCTTTCCCAGGAAGATTTTCCTTCATAATCCCTAAACCTCAGCATAGGAGACATACCCACACTGTAGCCTGGTGGTATCTTTCTATACTTGGGACAGCTTGTCCACCCTGAATTGGTACACAGCATCAGCAGGGAAGAACAGAAGCAAGACTACCCACGGTCAAATACCTCCCTTGTATTTCCTCGCTATAGGCGTGGACTGACAGAGAAAAAAATAGTAGTTTTACTGTGCTCACAGGATCCAATTGCCATCAAATTAGCTGTACTCACTAGTTCAATTCAATACCTTTTTGATTATTCCAATCTGTTCTTTCCATTCTAGTTCCAACTGTTTCTGCTTTTCTATGTTCTCTTTTATTTCTGCATTTAGATCTTCTATCTGAGAAAAGAAGCAAAAAAATGATTTCCCAATTATTCCAAATACCTAAAAACCCATCAGGTTTTTATCTGCTAATACAGAAACTGTAAAGGTTAATTCACACTCTTGTTTAACAAGGACTTCTGGACAAGCAGAATATCAGATACATACATACTGCTTTCCCAGCACACATATGCTTTGAAGTTTGATACAGATAGTATGTGCACTGAGTGTTTTGCATTATGGTCTCCACACTTCTGAGCAGAAAGGAATATCGAGAGTGCAGACTAAAACACACACAAGTATGTATGAGCCAGACTGATAAAAGGCAACTTTATACCATAATCCAAATAGTCAGAACTGATTTCCACTAGAAATCAACACATTTACTTTCTTCCCAGTGATAATAGGCTAAGCTTCTCTGCTTTCTATCCCTGCTTAGAGTTGCCAACTGCCTGGGGGGGGAACTGTCCTGTCCCTTTAATAGAGGCTTAATGGGATGTTATTTACAGAGCAATCCTGAGCCACGCCCATGCTGCAGCGGCCAACCGCAGTGCAGGGGCATCGCCACACGTTGGCTCCCTAAGGGGCAGGTTACGCTGCAAGGGGGGGGAGTGTAACTAGCTGCTCACAAGGGCGTGTCCATGGTGATTCCACTGCAGCGTGGCCTCACAGCACAGTGTTGAAGCGGGGGCGGTATGTGGTCACCAAGGTGGTTAACAATTTAAAACTGGGGTGTCGAACTCATTTGTTACGAGGGCCGAATCTGACATAAATGTCACTTCATCAGGCCAGGCTGTATGTGCCATAAAATGTAATGCCAGGTATCGGAGATATTTTACCACCGACCGTAACCCACACCCCTCCTCAGCACCTAACTAACCACCCTTAGCTTGAAATGCAGAAAAGGTTTTGCACAGCACAGAAAGCAATTGCCTGACACTCAAGGTGCAACAACCAGAGACTCTCGTGGCTCTTTAAAGACTAACGTAGTTTAGTTTTATTATTACGGTCTTAAGACCAGCATACAATACAAACATAGTATAAAGACTAACATACTTCAGAAGTTTCTGATGAGCTGGAGCATGAAGGGCTGCATTCTGCTGCTGCAGGTAAGGCAGCCGAAGACAGGTGGCCAAGTGGTATCAGCCGAGGAACTCTACAAGCCCTGCCTTAAAGAAACTGCTATGGTCAACAGACTTTGGAGAGGGGAGGAGGTTGAGGCAGCCGCATAATCCCACACCTCTCTCTGTCAAAGTCCCAAATTCAGCAACAAGCTTGAACCATAAGTGGAATCCCAATGCTCCCCAGCACCACAAGCAATCTTCAAGCGCTGCCACTCTCCAAAGATGCCAGCTCCACTTTGTCTTTTGCAGACTTTTATTTCCTACCAGCTCCCCGACATTATCTAACCACCCAAAATCTCACTCCACATGTTCAAACACAGACACACATCCAGCGCCTGCCGCTGCCATGTGCAAACCCAGCATGTTTTCTGAATGCCTGTTCCTGACCCTGACCTTCACCTTAACTCCCTACCTCCATTCAGACTGTTACATAAGGCAGCTCTTGCACACAGGGAACACAGGGAGCATGCATGAGTTTTGGCTTTGCCTCTTATTTAATTCTCCCTGTGCTGACATGGGAGGGAGGCAGGAGCCATGCACATTTGGGTTAGCAGGTTCTGGCTCATCCAACTCGGCAGACCTCCTCTGCCCCCAAGCTTAGTGTTCCGTATGTGTTGTGCCCCTTACATAACAGCTGAGCTTTTCTCTTGCCCAGCTGCTGCGCACAGCATGCCCAGCCCAGCCAGTCACTCCATTCACACACTTACATAAGCAACATGTCTGGTGAGCCAGCCAATGGCATTCCACAGGCACCTGTGCCCGCCGGTGCCTTTCCTGGACTGCCTGCTAGTGGGAAGCCACTTGGCTGGGCTCGGGGAGGTGGGGCCAAAGGGATTCTGCCTGTCACACATGAACAGTCAGCCATCTTTCCAGCAGCCCAGACAGCACAAGTAAGAGCCCAATGTGCTGTGGACAGAGGAGGCGGCAGCAGCAGGCAGCACGTCCCAGCCCGGTGCTTTGGCTAAGGGCAGTGTGCAGTCCCCAAGGGGACTGACTGCACAGAGCTTGGGGACAAACCACCCTTCCTCACCTCTTCTGGTTGCAATTCCAGGTTGGGCAATCACTGGAGATCTGGGGGGAAGACCCTGGGGAGGGCCCACATTTGGGGAATGGAGGGAACCCAGCAGGGAATATAGTACCCTAATATAGGCTCTTCTAGTCTGCATTCAGACTGGTTTCCCCCCAGGTTGCTCATAGGCCAGATAAGAGCCTTAGACAATTTCCAGCCCCCAGGCTATATACTGGACACATCTGTTTTAAAACATACATAATAAAACCACTAAAATCAACCCCCTAAAGACACATCATTAAAGCAATTTAAAAACAAAGAATTAAAATACATACAAAACATAAAAACAGCAATTAAAATGTTGGTTATGAAGGAGAGATCACTAAGGGAATCCCAAAGAAAACAAAGGCTTCCACCTGCTGGCAGAAGGTGGCAACAGAAGGGAACAGACAAATCTCCCTGGGGAGAGTTCCAGAGCTTTGGCGCCATGACAGAGAAGGCCCTCTCCTGGGTTGCCACCCACCGAATCCCAGAAGGTGGGAGCACCCAAAGCAGGGCCTCCAAAGATGGCCACAGCAGTCAGCTAGGTTCATAAGGGAATAATTGGGCGTCCTTCAAGCATATTGGTCCCTACCGATACAGGGCTTTGAAGGTCAAGAGCAGCACCTTGAATTGTGCCTGGAAGCAAACTGGGAGCCGGTATAGACAGGCCAAGACTAAAAGGATATGGTCCCTACAACCCACTCCAGTCAACGTCCTGGCTGCAGCATCCTGTATCAACTGACGTTTCCAAACACTTTTCGAGGGCAGCCCTATATAGAGCACATTGGCATAATCTAATCTAGATGTGACCAGGGCATGCATCACAGTGGGCAGATCTTTTCTGCCCAGGAAAGGCTGCAGCTAGTTAACCAGCTGAAGCTGGTAAAAGGCATTCTCGGCCACAGCTGCCACCTACGTATCCAGGAGTAGGCCTGGGATCAGGAGCACCCCCATACTGCAGACCTCTTCCTTCAAGGGGAGTACACCCCTACCCCAAATGGGTGACACCTTAAATCCCAGGTCAAACATTCTGCCCACCAGCAGAACTACTGTCTTGTCAGAATTAAGCTTCAGTTTATTAGACAGCATCCACTCCAAAAGTGGCTCTGGGCACCAGTTCAGGGTTTCTACAACCTCATGAGGATCAGGTGGATGTGTGAAACAGCTGGATGTGTCATCCACATACTGGTGACGGTCCAGCCTAAACCTCTGAATGGCCTCACCCAACAGTTTCATGTTAAAAAGTATAGGGGACAAGATGGAACCCTGTGAGACTCAACAGGCTGAAAGGCTGAGCAGCAGTCCCCTAGCACCACCACCTTCTGAAACCTACCTCCAGGTAGGGCCACCAAAGAACAGTGCCTACCAAACCCAGTCCAGACAGTGGGTCCAGAAGGATACCATAACTGGTGGTACCGAAAGCTGCTGAGAGGTCTAGAAGAATCAACAGAGTTGCAGTTCCTATGTCTATCTTTCGGTGCAAATCATCCACCAGGGCGACCAAGGCTATTGCAGTTCCATAACCAGGCCTAAACCCAAATGATGCAATGCAAATGCAAAACTATAAAGACCACAGGTTTTCAAATGCAATCAACATACCATTAATCTACAAATAAAAGTAGAAATGGCCCCTGGGTCCAGAGAAATACCTACCATCTTCTGGTGCTGCAATTTTGTATATGAAAGATCAGACTGATAGAGAGACTCTATTCTACTAAGTTCTTCCTTGTGAAGTCTCTCGGACTCCGACTGCATCTCTTTCATGTTCTTTACTGTCTCCTCTAGACGAGCTTCAAGTTCCAAGTGAACATTCCTTAAAGAAGCCACTTCTTCATTCAACTCATTTTCTTTTTGCATAAATTCCCTTTCTTTCAGTGTTATTTCAGTGCCAAGCTTCTGTAATTCTAAGCTACTGGCTTCCAATTCCTCTTCAAATGCTAACCTTTCAGATTCACGTGATTCTTGAGCGCTTTTCATTCTCACATTAAGCTCCTCAACAGTTTGTTCAAGAACCATTACTTTGTTAACGCTTTCCTCCAAAGCCTTTTTTGCTTCCTTTAGATGCTCCCCGACTGTAAAAAGTTTTTCTTCCAAGGCTGACTTTTCCTCAAGTAAAGATGATAAACTTTGTTCTTTGATATTGATTTCAGACTTGAGATCCTCCTGTTCTTTCAGCAAGAATTTTTCTAAAATAGCTTTTTGGCCAAGAAGTTCAAAGAGGGTCTTGTTCCTCACCATCTGGCTATCAATCTGGGCTTGCATTTGATCCCTTTGCCTCTGCAACATGGTCAGCTGTCGTCCAAACAGAGACTGTACTTCACTGGTCACAGAATCAGAGGCTGTCTTTTGCTCCTGAACATCTTTCACTAATTCTTCCTGCAATCTCAACTGCACCATTAAATTTTCTTTTTCCCACTGGAGGTCCTTTACTGCTTCTTCCCATGAACGAGATGTTAAATCTTGCGTCACGCACTTTAATTTTTGAACCCAAATGGTAAAATCACTATTATCTCCTTGCTTCCTTTTGTTTTCCGGTTCTAGCTCCTTCTCCATTTTTTGACTGAGAGATTCATCATAAGCAACATGTGCCTCCTGCTCTTTTAAGTGTGCAGTTGTAATCTCAGCTGTTGCACCTTCTCCAGCTCCCTGAAAAGCCTTGTCAGAAATAAATCTTTTTTCACTGCTCTGCTTTATCAGGCCAGTATCTCCAATCACAAAATCAATCTGATGATCACTTAGACTGTTTTGCTTGTCTATTTCATTCTGTGGCGAACAATACCCAGAAAAAAGTAAAGCTGCAGATTGTTCACTGAGTTCAGTTTCATTTAAAGTCTCTTCTAGCAAACTGTTCAAATAAACTTCCTCGTTAAAATTAAAACCTGTCTTGCCATTGCTGGATTCTAAAACATCTCTGGCTGAATCACAAGCAGCTTTTCCAGGATCTGAATGTCCAGGACTGATAAATGTACCTGACTGCTCCTGCCTCTCTGTGATATCAAAACATTTAATTAATTCCTCTCTGTTTTCAGTAACAACTTCTAGCTTTAGTTCTGCTATATGGTCCCTTAAGTAATAATCAGATTTAGAGCTTTCAGTATCCTTTAGGGCTTTGACTTTATTAAGGTTTTGCCTTGCATCTTCCAACACATTTTTCAAAGTGTCTATTCTGAAATCATGCAAACCATCTACTTCCCCGTCAGCCAAATACAATCCATTTTCATACTGATGCAGTGTATTCTGCATCTCTTCAAGTTTTGTCTTCTGTTTCCCCAATACCTCTTTTAACAGTGTTGTCTCTTGCTGTAAATCTTTTAACATCATGTTGTAGAAACATATTTCTTTATCATACTTATAATGTAAATCTTTGTATTTTCCTGTTTCAAGGAGGAGTTTGTCATTTAACTCCTGAATTAAAGAGCTGAGTTTTTCAATCTCTTGATTTAAACTTTCCTTTTCGTGTTTCGATTCTCTTGCTCTTTCTTCAGTATTAGTAAGCTGTAGCATAAGTTCTTCTACCAGAGTTGTATACTTCCAATCCATTTCAGAGTGTTTCCTCACAAAGTCTGCAACACAGTTTTCAAGTTCCTTGTAGAAGGAGCTATCGACTTCTAATGCCTGTAGTTTATTATTTAAATTAACAATGATATTCAAATTCTGGGCATTTCCCTCATAATTAATAGCATTTAATTCTTTTTTTATTTGCTCAAGATCATTTTTATATTTTGTATTCACTTCTTTTATACAAGTTTCTTTTAATTTTAAAGTCTCTTGTCTATAGCACTCCTCCAGCTCAGTTCTCAATTTCTGCAGTCGTCTGTTAATGTTATTTTCATCATTCTTTTCCAGTTCTTTAATACAACCCTGTTTCTCCATCTTCACAGAATTTCTTAGCTCTACAAGCCTTTTCTTCCTGAAGAGGAAGTTTGTTACAAAAGAAAAATTAGCTCCAGTATCACTAAACTTTGAAAATATTTAATAACAATTATTTTTCCCCAACAGGTTTAAAACCGTCTATGATACATTTAGCTTTAACAGATCTCTATCAATATGGGTATCACTAAACTTTGAAAATATTTCATAACAATTACTTCCCCCCCCCCAACAGGTTTAAAACCGTCTATGATATATTTAGCTTTAACAGATCTCTATCAATATGAGATTGCATGTTTTATTTTTTCTCCATTAGAGTGAGGATTAAACTTGATTCCTGCCTCTGGTTACTCTAGTGGCCCATTTGGTGGTTTGTAATTGTTCTTTTGAGTAGCTCTCACATCCAATTCCCAAACTGCTTTTTGATTTCAAAATTTAAAGAACACTACTGGGGGGTTCCTGGAGACCATCTTCTGAAAAGCTAGCTACATTGTACAAAACACACAGCCATGTGCTATTTCTCAACAGAGCACTAAGGTACATCTTGAAATGTTTCACGGCACATATTCTACTGCAGTTATTGCAAGGATTAGATGTGTTCATATAGTGTAACTCAGGGCTTGACAAATCCCATACGCCAAATTGCCATGGCCCCTAAAAAATTCATTGTGGCACGTCATATTTTCAGTAATGATTTTATTGTAGTGTGTTTCACCGTTCCTTCAGAATTGACATCACAATAATTAGAACTTATTTCACCACCTTCTTGTTCATGTTTGGTACACTGTCATGTCTTTTACTTATTCTTCGAAAACTAATCCAGAGAAGCTACCAGCCCTTGAATATATATTTGCATCTGTTGCCGTTTTTCCCCACCAGTCACCTAGGGGGGGACAAGACTTAGCCTTCCATTGATCCTAACAGAGAGGTGAAGGTCAAAAGCCAGTGCACTTAAATATTTATTGAGTACCACTGAGTACAGCTGTTCATGGAGCACAGCTCTTTTGGTTAACTCCTCCAGGGCTGCCCCGTTCTCCCAGGCCTTTCCCTCACGGCTGCCTGGGCTCAGGGAACTCTTCCAGTTCCTTCCTACCAATTCATGTTTCTTCCTTCTATTTGTTTCCTGTTCCTTCTCCTCTCTCCTCCCCATCTCCAGACAACCTTTTCAACCTCTCCACTTTTCCAACCGCCCCCCTTGTAACTCCTCCCATACGGCCTTCACATCAGTGCTCAACAGTGACTCCAGAGTCACATTTCCCCAGGCCATGCCTCTGGCCAGGGTCCTGGGCTGGGCCTCTCTCCAAACAGCCTGAATAGCCTGGCTCTGCACCAAGCTACTGGGTTCCTGGAGCCGCATGCCCACACCCCAGCTGTTGGTCGGATTGCCAAGCAGGCACCACAGGCCTGACATAGTCCTTTCGAGCACCCAAAACATTATGGGCCCTTTTCCTTATCCAGTCAGATGCTGATTCGTAGCAGCACTTCTGTAGTGGCAGCAAGGCCAGGCAGTCACAACATCCGTAATGCACATGAAAATCCCTATGCAGAGCAAAACAGCTATCCAGTCAACATCCTGGACTGGAAGTAAACAGCATTACAAAGAGCTTTGTCAAGCTCTGAACAACTCTCTTGTATAAAACATACTACTCTACAAGATCTGCATTTCCAGCATGCAAAACAAACATAGACAGTGGTTCTTTTAAAGAAGTAACAACATACGTTCCAACTACCTCTGTTTACCAAATAATGTCCCTAAATTTCTAGAGAGATAACGGCACTAGCCTGTGCTAAAAACAACAGAGAGCCTACTGGCATCATAAAGCCCAACAGATTTACAACGTATATAAGTCTCACTTTATTCAATGGGGATGATACACAGGACAGCAGTCTGAATGCAGCACAAGACCTCACAAACTACAGCTCACTCCTCTGATGAGACGGAAGGCTTCATTTTTAAAGGGCCACAAGAATGCTTTTCCTATTTTGGGCACCTGTCTCTGGGAATGTATGGACTTTCAGAGATACCTGTTAAAAGAGTTCTTAGTGTGAACTGCTGAAACCTGAAGAACATCTGACCTCTTATTTTCACAGAGCCACTAAGAAAAATGGCTACATTTTATTACTAGCACAATTGGAACATAAAGGTACCAAGCAGGTACCAAGTTTTTCCATCTTGGCTCCTAGTCCGTGGAATGGATTCTGTAGCACTGTAAGCAACCACCTCTCCTAGTATACCCTCCAAAGACCACTGCGCTCAATAGATAAGAACCTACTCATGATCCCCGGCCCGAGAGACATCTGGCTGTCCTCAACCAGGGCCAAGGCATTCTCCGCCCTGGCCCCAACCTGGTGGAACTTTCTGCTGAATAATTTCCAGGCCCTGCGGGACTTAATGCAATTCTGCAGGGCCTGTGAAGCAGAGATGTTCTGCCAGGCATTTGATTGAGGACAGAGATGGTTTCCACCTGCCTGGCACTCAGGTCTCTTGCCTCCCCCCCCCCCCCCGCACGAAGGGGGGACACTAAGATTTTTTAACCCC